ACCAATCGACGGGACTTTTAGAAACTGACAAACGATCGTTCTCCCCCTTCGTACTCTCCCTCCGAATTTCGGGTATTCGGGTATCGGTAGAGAAATCACACTATCGATACGCTTGATAGGTTATTAACCATTGACAGACAGATCCGGCAGCACACCGTCAATGAACTCGCTTTGTCGCTCCATCGGACAGCGGCCCGAGATAGAGAAACGATTCGCAGAGTTTACGCACTCGCGCGCGGTTCGCACAGTTGAATCGCGCAATTCCACGGTGCCGCGGCAATCATATCGCGGCCTGATAATTGGCAGAGAACCGACAATCGTCGTAATTTCCGGCTCCCGGTGCGGAAATTCTGACGTGTGACACGCGACGGATCGACGCTCCTGGGAGGCACCTCATTCAATTAGTCACTCAGTTACTCGCATCACATCGCATTTACCCATCAACCTCCCACCAAAGGCTTTCTCCAACTCGACGACCACCCCTCGAAAATCGTCTGTACGAGGCGCGCGTGTGTGCGATAGACCTCCTTCGCCGCGGAACTCGTGATTTAAACTTTTCGAGGGAAGGTCGACGACGACGATTCCTTTTCCCTCCACCGTACACGCACCAGCCAGCTGAACGTCACCAGGCTGTCATTCGGTAAAACGGCTTTAGTTCGCTGCTCGTGTCGTCGAGGATATTGCCACGAACAAGCCAGGCTTCTCTAACTTTTCCTAAGTTTGTTTCAGTCTCACCCCCTCTCTTTCTCGTAGCAGAGCTGAGGTGAAACTCTGGCGACGGCTGAGAAAAGACAGTCACGATTATTATCGAAATGTGCGATTAGTCCGAGTTGTTAAAATATTAAACGCTTCCGAACGACGCGAAGAATGCCTTCACGAGTGTAGGTTCGCGAGGAAACACGTTCTCTCGATGGAGGAGTAATTAGGCAAAAATTCTACGGAACTTTCTATGCGTTGTAATTTTCAAGATAGCATTTCTATCAATTTCTCCTTCCCAAAATCGATTCAACTGTCCTACTGTCGCAGAATATTTAAAAACACTTGAATTTTATATTAAATTTACATTTCACCCTGTAAGGCAAATGCCCCTAATCGTGATTACATTGTTTTTTATTTTTTAAATAAAGTACCGATAAGAATAACTTGGCAAAAACACGTAAATGCATAAATTAATCAAAATTTCTCAGGTAGGCGATATTACAGATACTTTCTCAAGAGTTTCACGCTCGTTTGTCTCCTATTCTCTTAAGCTTGATTCAACTATTTCGTTTGAGCCTAATTTCACATAAAAGTGTCTCACCCTTTACTTGAGAACGGTCCAAAATTTAGAAAGCGATATTACATTTTTCAAAGAAACTAACACCCAAATTCCCATTCTTTACCTAGCACCAACCAAAGGAACCATTCCTTCTCCCCTTTATCTCCATTACGTCTAAATAACAAATTTCACTCTCGTATCGTTTATTCATCGACGATCGCACCCCGTTCAATTTACCGCAATAAAGGCGCGTGATTAGTGGGAAGACGGCCGTGAGGGGGTGGAAGTCGACACGTAGAAGCGTAAAAGTTTCTACGAATTCGCGGTTGGTCGCAAACTCGCCGAAGGGCCAAAACCGCCGGCACAGTGGAATTACTCGACGGCTGCCTCCCACGGGGCCGAACTTGTCCGCGACAATTTCAAACTTATTTTAACATTCATATAAGCCCCGCGCCCTAGCCACCGTGCATAGCACCGGCGGACCATCACCTAAGCATCCCTTTCCACGTGTAACCCGAGAACCGACCCACATAAGTTCCTCTTCCTATATGGAAAGGGCGTATAAGCACAAGGGTAACACAGGATTTGCATAAGATTATACACAAGCCTTGGTACGTCTCGTAGAAAAGGGAGCAACGAGATGTGCAGCCAACGAAACTATACTCGAGGGTGTGCTTCTCTTCGGTTTGTAATTAGAATCGACTGGGATTGCGCGACGCGTGATTTCCACCTGATTTTAAAGCTTCCACTTGCATCGTGGCGTGTCGCTATTGATATTTCAGTGTTGATTTAATTCAATCTTAGAGTAATTTAGATGTGACAATGTTGGGTACGTATTTGGAGTCGTGAAAAGATTCGGACAATGTTCGGAACGTTGTAACTTTTTGAAAATTCCATCAAATTACTTGGGTTTCTTTGAGAAGTTAGAAGGATATGTGGGTGTTAATGTTGCCACGAGATACATGCGGTTAGAAATTGTGAGAATCGTATTGTTTCACGACTTTCGGCCTGTAACTGTGATAATTCTAGAGATTCTTACACCTTTCGACGCCTGTCGCTTATTTTTCCATTAATCGATTTGGATGAAAGTTTCAGTATGTAGACAATTGACGTAAATCTACAAAACGTGTGTTTTAAGATACAAAAGTTGCAAACAGCGACATTTACAATTTTCTTAGGGATTCCTACAAATTGCAATTTTTTATTATATTTTGGTATACTAATCCTTCTAACTTCTCAAAGAAACTCAGGTATGGAGATATTTATAACATCGTGAAATTTGTACGTCATGTAACATTAAAGTAATTAATGTCCAAGATTGAAATATTGCCTGAGAATAAGAACATACGTCAAATATGGAAATGCAAGCGAACATGCAAACAATTTTGATTATTTAATAGCAAGTTACGCAATAATACCGTTTTACTTTCTTTCAATAGGAAAAATTAGAAATGAAACAGGATTTCTGTTTATATTGTATACAGAATATGCTGCGAACAATGTATGCAAAGTGCAATTAATACAAATGCATAGTGTACATTAATTACTCAGTGGAAATAATGGTATATAAACAAACTGCATTGAATTCTGGCTTGATTCAAGTTAGAATTATTCGATTCTAATTTCGTGACAGATTCAAAAATACGCTGCTTTTCGCGCTTTTTTAATTAAATTCACATTTCTCTTAAAATTGAATCTATAAATTAAAATAAGTACTTTTCTGGATACTAAAATTATCGAAGAACAGTGTTCCTATACGCTCTTAAATAAAATAGAATTACTAAAATTAATTTTTTAATTTACCCTGTTAAGAAATAGTGATACTTCCTATTTTCGTTTAATCTTAAAGATTATTTAATTATAAATTCATAAAATATATTACCTTACTTATTTTTACAGTTCAATATTCTGATTTCTTTAAAACACATATTTTAGATACTTCAATGCACAAATTCAACGAATAAACACTTGCACATCATGAAAGAGAAAGAAGATTGCTTCTTCGAAAGATTTCGGTTCTATTACACGTATATCTGAGCTGGGGAGAAATTATTAGATTGTTTTTCACGGTGTTGTTAAATCTCCTCCGCCGTTCTCCATTATGCATTTCGTATTCATAGTCCGAGCCAAAATTGCTCCTAGAGCACGATAAATGTTACACGAGCCATAAAGTATAACTTCAGCCTACCTCGCCAATGTTTATTTAAGCAACAGGAAACGCTCTAAATTTCCCCTCTGCCTCTTAGCCATTATTCCGCCCTATTCTACCGCTTTTCACCGATTTTCACATCGTGTAGCACAGCTTCGAACCAAACGAAACCACCTTCGAGGCGGATTTATCGATGGAGTAAGAGCGCAACTTGGATATAGTTTGCACACGGTGCATCGAGGACTCTCCACGTGATTCTGAATAATTCTGCCCTCTGCAGTGAATACCTGGAAGTCTAAATTCAAGTCCACGAAAGTCAATATCTGCACTACCGAAACATCCATTCTTCGATATTCTCCTCCTCTGAAAACAAACGAACAACGAAAGTTGCTAAAATGGAAGACTTCGATGCTTGAAATTATTTGCTAAATGTCATTTTCGTTACAAGATAAATTTTTCAATGTAGTTTTGTTGTATTACTGCTGCGCGGTAAAATTTGATTATGTTACACTCGCGGATTTTACCTATATTGCAAAATGAGTCTGCCGTTTTTGCGTCGGTTTTGTCGTCCACCTTTCACACGTCACGGATTATTCACAGAATTAGCAGGAAAGAGAGACAAAGGAGTTGCGAACCACCATCTGTAGCGATTGTGAGCATTTAATTTTACGTATATAGTATTTGCGAAATTTGAAATTCTCTTTGTTCCATTTGTAAGTTGATACTATTCGGATAACCACAAACGACGTGTTCTCTGCGTTATTTATGTGAGATTAATACGTTTACTTCTCTTTTTAACGTTCAGAAATTGAGAATAATTTGAAAAGCGCGTTTCGCGCGCGCGCGTATATTCAAAAGAAGTTTTTATGTAAAATTTTAAACTTCAATTGCATGCAAACATTATTCATACTACGCAAATAAATTTGCTGTAGATCGTTAAAAAGGTTTCCTATAATTCAATTTGCATAGTAATAAGTTTACATTAACAACACTTTTCATCCTGACTCATATTTGTAAATGATAAGTTTTTTTACAAATGTTCTTTAACATCGTTTTGCAAGTAATAAAACCATATTTGTACGTTAGTTTTGCATAGCAAATAGAACTGCTTCGATTCCTGGAATTCACTTCCTGGTGGAAAACACTTTCCACTTTACGATGTATTCTATTGGATTATCTTAAGCGACCAATTTTATTAGTTAGGTATTATATATTAGGCAGCTGTGAAGCAGGAAGCGATAAATTAGTTCATGGTTTAAAATATTCCGCAACGAAAATTTCATCCAGAAAGTATGTGCACACTGCGATTTAATTCATAGCAAAAAAGGGGAATTTCTTAAATTAAGTAAGTGAAACGGAAAAGTATGTTCACTGTTTGGCTAACATCTAATCAGTATAATATTATTACAACAAGGGATGTCCACTCATCAATATAGTTTTCTGCAAATAATTATAACGTAAGAATGTTCGTTTGGACTGAACCGTGAAAATTATCAACGAACATTTCATATTTATAAGATACAAAAATTGTTGCTGCAGAAGTTACATTAATTCTTTATCGCGTGAACAGTCGCTAGACATCTTTATTTCAAAATGACACACGCGATTTCACACATTTCACCTAAAATAACGTCATTGCAGATTTTGTGCGGATGCGGTTATCTCGACGGTACCGAAATTTCGGAAGCCGTGTCGGCAACGATCCACGTAGCTCAGAAAGATATGAAGCCATGTTTCTACGCGCCAGATCAAGAAATTTGTAACATTATCGATCATTGTAGCAGAAAACTAGACCCGGACAGTTCCCCGAGAAATGCGCTGGTCGAAGCAGCGAGATTGGCTAGATCATCTATAAAACCACTGTGCGAATGCGAAGCGTGTACACACGGAGCGCTCGTTATTCCTGGAGGATTCGGTGCTGCAAAGATATTGTTAGCATTTGCATAAATTCGATTAAAAATTAATATTTATCTCTGCGAAATTTGCGAGAAATTGAAATATACCGAAGTGGAATTTAATTTGTAAAATATCGTCCAATGGAAAAGTAAATGATTTTCTGTAGAACTTGGAGGAAAGTAATTTTATGACTGTGTATATAACATTGAATTTGAAATGTTAACTTATAATCGACATTTTTTAAATCAGTGTTTTTTCAATTGAAGAAAAAAATTGTCGAACCATTTGAAGTATTAATTAACGCGTTGAGTGTCACTTGGAATTCTTGGTGGCCACCAACGATCCACGTTATTGCATTCACTCCAATTGTACGTTATTTTTCAATAGCAGTGCGCCAATCAGCGAATTAAAAACGCCACGTGGGCCATCGGTGACCCACGTACGATGATTGCACTATTCATGATAATTATGTACCAGTTAAATATTATGAAACATTTCATAATAATGCTTCCTCCTATTCGAAATTACCATACATCCTGAGTAGAAGCTTCAAAGTGGCTCACCGATGGCCCACGCGACACTCAACGTGTTAATCATTTTGTGACCGGTGAAACGCACATATCTCACTGACAAAAATTCATCTCAATTTGCAGACGCTTCTTGTGTGCGTGGTATTTTATAATTTATAATAATTTTAGCAGCTGAAAGTACTATCAAATTTACTTTTTGCTATCACAAGGAAGTGACCGATACAAAATCATGCATTATGTGCCTTTTGTTTATGATGTTATTTATAATATCATGGGAAAAGCAAATTATTGCAACTTACACTGCTAGAATATAATAACTTAAAGATACCGTGCAATCTAATATTTCGAAGCATATTTTTCTGTATAGTGTACCCTTCAACTGTTTACCTGAATTTGTCAAACAACAAAATTTGAAATTACCTAACGTTCTTGAAAGAAGCTTCAAATTTTCTGTAACTGTATTACAAATGACAGAAAAGCTCGTTATATTTACATTAAGTGTATACAAAGCAGCAATACATATTTGAAGAATATTTAAGTACATGCTCATTATATTTACTGTATCTCTTAAAGGAGTAATTTCGCAGAAAAAGGCGCTGACTGCACTGTGCTTCCCGATTTAGAGAAACTAATCGAGGATTTTTATTGCGAGAAAAAACCAATTGGTTCGATATGCATTGCAAGTGCTGTTATCGCAAGAGTGTTAAAAGGTGTTCGAGTGACGCTTGGCAAAGACTGTAAGTTCTTAAAGAGATCCCTTTCCCTTCGTTCTTTCGTATACATTTACAAAAGGACTTTAATTATTAAGTTCTTAAACACGTTTTACCTTAAAGCACAGAATACATAGCATCGCAAATTTGACTAATTTAAGAAAAGTGTACTTAATGCATTTGTAGCCAAATATATCTTAAATTTAATTTTTGCATTTCAATTATTATTTCATTTTTTATTTCACACCTAAAATTAATTTTCAGGAGTAATTCAAACATCGAACTATTTAATTTGATAATTTACAATGGTTTAGCACCAGCAGAAGACTGGCCACACGCCGATGCAATTGGAAAAGTTCGAAGCATGGGAGCTAAGGTAGAATTGAAGAATGTAAAAGGAGTAACCAGGTGTAAAAAATACAACGTCTTCAGTACACCAGCGTGGATGTACAAAAGTGGGACATTTGCAGACGTTCACAACGGTATAGGAAAATTAATCACTATGTTGAAGAAATGTATTAATCAATAACAAACTTGAAGGATCTCGCTGAATTATAAATACCGCAGCCGTCGCGGTTTTGTATTATAATATCCGTTGAACTGGACTACACTTTTGTAAATATTCGTCAATTAGCCGGAAAATATAGCGATTATCGAAATACACGTATATTAATTCTTAAACTCCGGTTACTTTGGTTAATCGTTTTATTTGCAGCATATCGTACACACCTTGAAAAAAAAAAGAAATGAAAACTCCGTTAGTGAGTCGTAGGAAATGATCGTAACAGGTTTTCACATTCACGTAAATTTATGAAAAATATACTTTATTTCAATATCTTATCGTGCTCGTTGCAGTAAAGGTGAACAGTACGTAATACAATGTTTGACCAAGCTTTCAATCGTTACGTCTATCGTATACTTAAAATTATCAACAACAACTATAATAACAATACGCCAAAATCTAGGACGAAAGAGTTCACGTCACCTGTCCGTTTCCATAAAATTTCCCGTTATTGAAACGCGGAGCGAACCTTTTGTCTTGATTTTCGTCAAGAATCGAACAGCTGATTTGAGAAGCTATCAAACGAAATGTCACTGTTACGACTGAGATACATTCTTTTTTTTTTTTTTGTTTTTCTGTTTTGCGGTGAAAGTAGAGGAAATATAACAATAGATATCGTGAAGAAAAGTATCCTTACGTGTACGTAAATCTAAGTAAAAGTGGAGGGTTTTAGGAGAGAATATTAGTTTCATTTATGAGAAGAAATGATAAGCCGATAACAATTTATATAGGTGAACAGTCTTAATAAATTTAATGAACGCAGTGAGACATTCTGCTTTTAAAAAAGATATGTACATATCCTTTTCTCACAATTACAATATACATAGAGCTAGATGCAGAAATGAGGTCCATGAACGAGTAGGGTAAGTGCACCTAATTTCGCCTAACAAAATTCAAGGATCATTCATATTTTTGTATCTAATTAGTCTCGTACAAAAGAAGAAATTGCTCGTGTTTCGCGTACAACTGGTTAAAATTGCTGCAATCCAAAGATTTTCAATCACAATTAGAAAATCACAAGACTAGTAAAAATCGGGATCTTTAAAAAGTGCACATAATATCGCCTGCCTGAGAGATATCGATTAATTCATTTTTACTAATTTATTAAAATCCTTTGTTATAAAAGTAAAAATATACAATTTCAAAATATACGAAATATTAGGAGGTGCGATATTAGACGCGTTTACCCCAAATCTTCATCGAATGAAAGCGCAATTGTTAGCTTGGTTCCGCTTTAGCTAAAACACTAAAGAAAACGCGAGGCAGAGCAATGAAATTTATTTACAAAAGGCCACGGTAGACGCAAATCGACGCTCTGCAAATTTCCTCCGCACAATTCAATTCGCGATTTGACGATGACAACGCACGCCGCGAATTTCGTATTTTCACATTTAAAACGATCCTACATACGTGATTTCGTATATTCGTATTCGTAATTATCACACACGTGATATCAGCATGCGCCGAACGTGCAGCCTTTGAACGGATATTAACATTAGTGTGTATACGAGTTATTAGTGCCGGATCGAGGTTTACTCGAGCATAACGAAAATGCTCACGTAAGTGCACTCGATCAATTTGAAATGTGTCCGTGAATTGCTAATAAAGAAGTTGGACATAATTCCCTTCTGAATCTGGCTAAACTCTGCTTATGCTTGTGTGAGAGAAAAAGTGGTCAGATTAATCCATCGATAATAAAGCAAATTTTTCGTTCCTTTTTCATTTCGATATTACGGGAAAAAACGTATTATCTCTGAGCCGTAGGTAGTTTATATAGGCAGACCCGGTTAATCGAATTTTAACTTACCATGAAATACTAGACAATTTATTCTTCAAATTATTTTCCTCATCGATCGATTAATCATAATTATAAAATACGAAGAAAAAGTTCCCTGTGCTGATATTTATTCGACGACACTTTAATACTGAATTAAAAAATTTTCCAACGATTCTAATGGGTTCTGTTTTGCAAAGTAGTTTCTAAGGGAGTGGTGCCGAAATGGTACTAATTAGGTAATTTAATGGTACTTGTAGAAATTGATATGTAAGTTGATATTTAATATATTGTAAGCCTTTCATAATGCAATATAAATAATTCAATTTAAGTTTCCACAAATATACCCCCTTTGAAGATAATTTTTGAACAGAAATAATTAAGCATTTATAATTAAGAGGAGAGGCCATTTAATAATATACAGAGTGTTCAGTAACATTTGGTAGAAAATTTAAAAGATGAGGTTTCGTGTTTTAGTTATTAACATTTTAAAATACCCCTGTAGTCGAGCAAACTTCCATACATTTTATTCATAAAGTTGTTATATTGTTATTAGTTATAAGAACTGCCCCAAAAATCGAAAAATGCAATACACCAAGTGCTTCTGTCTATCTCTCTAATTATTCATTCCACTAGAATTTACACTAATCTCAAGTAATAAAACACAATTACCAAGTCATGGTTTAAATAACTCCTACTCATCAGGCAACTCTCCCGCATTAGGAATCCTCTGCAACAGCTAAATCCGAGTATTTTCTATTCCGGCGTTCTCAGCTTTTTCAAAGCGACTGAACAAACGATACACAAATAACACGCCTATTACTCCTGGGCAATTTAAACAATTGAGTGAAATATTCGCCATTGTTACAATCAGTACCATTTCTAGAAAGATCGAAGCCAGAACACGTTTACGTTAATTTCAACAATTGAGAAGTACGAAGCGGAACATACTTACGTACATGACATTGCTATTCACGTAGCAATGAAATCTACACGAACGTTCTTATCGACACAAACCCATTCTCGAAAGTATCAAATTTACCCATGAATTCAAACAGACTCGTAAAAGTTACTCTCGTTTAGGACGAAACATTTCGAAAAGCGCGAGCGTCCAGTTGATCGTTGTCCCTTTCATTTTCAGCACAAACTCCTCCGATAGTAGGATGTGACAACACTTTTCAGACTTTGGTTCCGATCTCGTAGCCAAATTTCATATCTGGGAAAAAATCCCAAAGTTCGCGTCCGCACTACCACACAACTCGAATATCAAACTTACGTTCAGCTCAGAGCTAACAAAGGTTCAACAGTCATACGGGATCTTCTAGCTTTGTCCTCCTCGTACTCCTTCATCTTGATCAGCTTTCTTTTACCGTTGCTCTGCTTCTTCCTCGGTACTTCTGTCGTGGTAACTATCTCCGAGCTCATCTGTTCCTCCTGCTCCAACATTCGCAGAGTTTCGATGATATTTCTCGGTTCCGTGATGCGTCCAGTTGTGCTGCCATTTTTATTCGCGTAAACCACGGACAAATGGGAGAAACTGGACTTGGGCGGAGCTGTGATGTCTGCGAAATCTCGGAAATTCGCGAAAAAGTCGCCGCCGCGAATCGGCTGCGGTTTCGGATTTCTGAAATAGTTCGCTCGGCCGCGATTTCCACCGTGATAGTAAGGATTGTACAAACTGTCGTCCATCGAGTATTCGTCGGTTTCCTTGTCCTCAGGGTAGTAAGTTCCACCTCGAATCACGCCGAAGTTTCCCGATCCTAGAAGAGGATGATGGACGTCTTTCGTGTTCGCTGCTGCTGTTTGATAACCGTTGCGATCTCGTTGGAAGTATCCCAAGAATCTGTTTGGCCGGTACCTCTGCTGCTCCGTGAAAGGAAGTCTGTGATTTGCGAACAGCTCTGCAAACGAAGGGAAGAAATTTTGACTATCTGTTTCTAAACTTTTGTCTTCGAGATTCAACGCTTCCGTTTGACTTGTTTCTTTGGTATTTTCTGCTGCCTGGTCTTTCGACTTGGCCTTCTCTGTGACAGTACTTGTTGCTTGTTCCTCCTTCTTCTCGGGTATTTCGACTGGAACTTCTTCCGTTGTGTTCTTGTGATTTTCAGGCGACTCTTCTTCTTGTTTCTCTACCTGATAGGACTCGGTGGTTTCTGGTTCCATGTACATGTCCGAATCGTCGCCGTCTTCGTATTCTTCGCTTACTTCCGAAGCGGACGCTATGGAGTCCTGAAACACACGAGGAAGATATTCTAAAATTATATTGGAAATAAGAACTTGGTCGTTTATACGTTTGAAAGGAAGATAAATCATTTTATTAGTGGAATGCACTAAAATAAATTAATGCGTCAGAGTCTCATTTCTTGAAATCTTCTTTTATTTAAATATTGTATGGACAAAACCTTGACCTTGTAAGAAACATTGCCAAATTGAGACACTCTGATTTTTAAGAAATATTGTATTCCTTGCATTTTTGTCTTTTAGTGGACATTTCTATTAGGAAGTAAAATCACCCTTTAACCCCTTAACATATGACAACCTGTCAGACACGTGGTAGAGATTCTGGCGAAGGTGTGACAAAAATAGTTGCATTGGTAAGAAAAATTAACAGTAATCCTAATTTTCGTTTAAATTTGTAGGACTGAGGATTGCTAAATGTAATTGATCTGTGACAGATTAGTTTTTCTTACCTGATACAGTATTAAAACAGAAAATGGCCGACGCTTAGATGCATAGTCAGAAAAGAAATCATATATCAAGGGGTCAAAATCGGAGGCTGCGTAACTATTAATTCAAATAACTCGAATACCAAGAAAAATAGAAAAATTGTTAACTACGAATGTTACTCGAATTTCTGTGAAAAATAACATAATGTAAACAACATTTCTTCCAAATTATAAACAAACATAAAAACTGTATTGTATTTTTTCAATGACCTACATTTAAATTATTTCCAAGTTCATTCAAAAAATTGACAAAATTCATCTTTACGAAATAAATCACTAACATAGCAAATCTTCGAAACAAGTAAAAGAAAATATTCTAATAACGTTACTACGAACCGATGTTACTTACAACACTCATCCAAATTGAATTGTAAATTAAGATATTATACGCGATAAATATACAGGAAGTAATTCGCTAAATTTAACTTGCAAATTTGAAAAATTGAGCCACAAAGTATCGGTACACCGATTAAAGTGTCGAACAAGTTTATTGCTCGATTTATAGAGGTCAATTACGAAGCGTTCAAGCGGTCATTAAAGGATACAGCGATCGATTAATACTTCACCGTGATTTCCTTCAAATAAAAAATAAACAAGATATCTCGTTGAAATTAGGCAACAAGTGTAACCAAAAAGTCGTCGCATTCGTCAGTCTGGGAATAAATTGTTGCCGGTAAAAAAACGTGTGTAGCGAAATGCCTTTCGCGAAACTCATTGACTGATCTATCTACTAGGGACAATTCTACCGTGTCCTCGCCTTGACATTTAAGACATCTTCGAGCCGACGACCGCCTGCAAAACTGGCTAACTGGTATCGTGCACATGACGTGGATACCAGTTACACCTATACACACACGTCTGGTTGAATATCACGCGTGTGCACACTCGTTATCTGCCGGAGGAACGTGCACGTGCAGATGCGTGCAATGGTCACGCGTCGATATTAATACAGACGATAGTTGCTGGAATCAGTTGCAACACACTTCTGGCACGCCTAGCATTGTTACTAATATGTCAGGTCAACCGTGCCACGTTATAACTGTATTATCTGCCTACTCTGTATATATTCTCGTCGAATTTCTTTTTCTTCCTGCTAATCATTTCCATAGATACGTTTTTGAATCTTCGACAGAAACGGGACATTCGATTTTTGGTTAATTCAGTGAGAAGTGAGGTATGAGATTGTATGGTAATTTGACGTGGAGGTGACGAGTTACCGCACTTTGAACGATAACAAGTGGAGAACACTGTATGAGCTTCTTTTTAAGCGCCTGATAGAATTCTTGTAAAATTTTTGGTCGATAATACGTGTGTTGCTTTAAGATAAGTTGGGCAATTATTCAAATTACACGGATAAGAGAATACTTTGTGTCTGAATTTATATTTGCTCATATTTATGTAGTAAAAGTTAATAAGAAGTGTAAAATTTATTTGGTAGCATTTTACTGCACCTTGCAGAACTCATACAACACACAACTATTGTAGTAGATAAATAATTAATAAGTGATGTTGATTAAGTAATGTTACTTGACTTCAAAGCGTTTGGTTTTACAAATTGATAGAATATGCTACCGAAGCCTAACAAATGGACTTCAATACATTTATTTTATTAGATAAATTTGGAAATTAATATATTTATTTCATTGAATAAATTTGTAGATTTTTAATATAGGAAATTAGAATGGGAATTATTGGGGTAGGAATTTTACAAAGTTATTATTATCACTTTACAAAGTATTCATTATATATACTATATACACAACCCTACGCTGAGAAATATCAGACAGAGAAAGACAATACCCAGAAATATCGGAAAGACTGGGGAAGAAAATCGAATTATTTCTTTAACGATGGTCGACGAACGAAGCTTGACTTTGAAAACCAACGAAGAATTGACCTACCTGCTCACCATTACCCCCTTCTTAAATTTTCAACATGTCAATGTATTTATATACGTTAACTATTGCTTCAATTAAAATGAAGCATAATTACTTCCCACACTCTTAAAGGCGACACACAACTTCTATTAAAAATAGGTTCTCAAAGCATGACATATTTCCATTCGATAGCAATCACGATTTTACTTCAACTCATAGCGGATAAAATAATTAGCCACTCTATTAAATGAAAAAAAAAAGAAGGAAAAATTATGCACTTGCCACGGCTGACTATATTTCGCGCGAACAGCGATAAAGCACCGTTTCGAGGACATAAATAATGTCACAAAGTTTCAGATGGCTTACGAATATAGAAACAGTTATAAATCAATAAGGCGCGAAGTATTATCCGGCAAACAAACGTCGAGTTAACAGTATGCGTGCCTCCCTTCACGAGTATAACGTATGGGGAAATATTGTATAGAGATTCGTAGACAACGCGTACCTTTTGACCTCGTAAATGAAGATGATGGATGAGCTGTTGTGTCGTGTAAAAAGGGACGATCACGATTCTGCTTAAACAATTCTAACTTTGATCACGATACAGGAAAATGTCGCCGTAAATTACCTCGGAATAAGTCCTGCTAGGTAATTTTAATTAACGCAATCGTACAATTTTTCGTTACTCAAGTAGTAAGTGTTCTGCGGTATTATCGTGCTGAAATTTATTGTATTTAAAGCGGGAGTTGCGTAACCGAGATCTACGAAATGTTTCGACAGATAATTATACAGAGTGGACGAGGACTAATGATACTGTTAAGCATAGAACATTTTTATCGCGAATCTGCAATTTCGAGAAAATCAATTTGGAAAATTTCCATCCACATTAATGCTTACAGGCATTGATAACAATGTTAGAAATCATTATCAACCAATTTCAAAACCTAGAAGTACGAAACCCGCCTGTGGACAATATTTGTAGCATAATAAGAATACAATTTACAAATCCCTATCTTATTATTGTAAATGTGAAATATGTTAATCAGCTTTAATCAAATCTATCGAGTGCAGTCTACAAAATTGGTATCTCAAACACACTTTTCTTTGTACTATAAAAACATCATCCAAAATTTCCAAAGAAAGATTTCCAAATTGTAGTATCCAAAAAAGTAATAAAAGCTTCCTCTAAGAGCTTCTAAAACCTCTAAAACAGTTCAGTTTAATTACACTCGATCGGTAATTAAGAATAGACATGGCACTACAATATACTTTCACGCTGTAAAATTCGATCCGTCATTTTTCATCGAAAATTTATTTACCTGCGGAAATGCACTCTGTAGTCCTGTGCTACAATAAAATTCCCAAGAAATACTTCTCAAGTTTAACCTTCCAGAAAGCCATTACGTATTTAACAATTTAATTACTGTCAGCAAGTGTATCGTCTATTAATTACACAGAATTTCGCACTTCCCTTTTTTCTTTACGCGCAATTCTGAAAAATTCGCCTGTCCACGGTGTAGAAAGGCAAGGAAACAGCACAAGTGAAAGGATTATTCACTCGAACGAGATCAAAATCACGACAAATCTCGCGGTATCTTCAGTAGCAATCGGATTGTAGGACACAAGAAGATAGATCGTTGCATCGACTGATTGCAAACGAAAGAAAAGAAGCTGTTACTAACACGCGATTACAGAACGCAAATTAATCTTACCGGCTCGTACACAGAGGGGCAACAGAACGCGCCAATGATTATTATATTAAGTCAACGTTTGTATGCAGGGAATCCAATTAGCCGCGGCGTCCTATCCTCCCTCTCCTCGATATAAATTATATGTGTATTAAGGGCAATCAGTCTACCAAGCGGTACGTTACAGAATAGATGATATACCGTGCCGAGAGGTGTAATTGTATCGCAAAGAAACGTGGAAGCTTTATTACAGGTGCACGGATGCGAAAGTATCGCGGCAAATCCTCCGGGGCGAACTACGATTTCGACGCTTCAGAATAATCGCTCGGTGTATCGAGCAACGACGTTTTTGGTCCCATTTCGAATCGAAATGATCGTCACGTTGCAACGATGATTGATTGAGTTCTAGTAAAAGCTGGTCTTTTCGTTTCGAGAAATCAAGCTGACGTTACAGGTATTTCTTTACGTTACACACTCGGGGATTCATTAAAATTCCATCCTTCGTTTGCTTCGATTTACATAGCCAAGTCGGAAGATATTTCGTCAAATCGACTTATTTTACAAAATCGTCGGAAGAAAGAGATTTTATGGTAGAAATCGTTTTACCCCGTGACACGATCAGTGATAAGACATACGTCCGTGAAAATTTCAGTTAATATTCTTAAAATTTGTTCATAAAATTCAGGCGACCTTGAAAAGTTGAAGGAAAAATGAACTGATAAAAAATGTACTATAATTATCTTAAAGACCTCTTTGAACCGTATTATGCGGCACAAAAAAATTTTTATTGATCCATTAATGACAGAATAATTTAAGGCGGTCGCGTTAAGCGGTTCACCCTGTATAGTTGAATTAATGATCTTACTTCGTCACACGATTACGTCGTTAATCGTATTGAACCTATTTATTACTAACCCTTTCGTGACCGAATAATTTTTTAAACAATTTTTCATTTATTCTCTAAACTGTAATGGACACTAAATTGAGATCAATGTAGGTATCAATGCAAAAATATCTGCATTTCACTATAGATTCATCAGTTGCAGAATAATTTCTTCGATAATTATAATTTTAACATTTTCGATAATTCGATTTTTACCCAAGTTTCAGCCTTACCTCACTTTGTCCAAGAAAGAAAGCATTGTGAGACGACAATCTAAGCTCAGACACGGTACAGTTTACACAGAGATAACGAGCGTGCTTTCAATGGATGTCATTATCTTCTGTTGTAACAAACGTCTTTAAATACCGCAATGAGAGAAACAAGAAGGTGTGTGGAATGTACTTGATCTCTTCTAAATTGTTTCCTTCGCTGATCTACATAGTTTTTGCCCGCTTCGCAATTTGTATTGAAAAATACGCTTCGCGTAGCATGACAGAATCATAAATCTTGATGTTTGCATCGCGAAATCGGCGAACGATGTAAAATTAGATTTTTAACGTAACGTTGCAACGTAATTGACATAAAATAGAACTCGTATTATTATAGGGTTCAAATTCGAAAAAAAATAGGTCGGTTAATGTAAAAATGCTTAACCACAGGTAAGTATGTACATTTCAACTGATTTACCTCACGCGATTCGGTCTTAAACTGAATAATCAATTTCTCTTTTCTATGATATAAGTTTAGTATACATTGATATTCCAGCAATGAATACATAAAGTTATACAATATCGCGAAATGAGCATTTCATTTGGGAATTTGCTTAAACCGCGGAAGATAATTACATGTGTATGTGTGTACCTATAGTAAATTGACCTATAATATATGAATATCGAACACCGCGTGTCCTCGCATAAATCACACCTTCGACTTTCTCCTTATTGTGTTAAAAAAAATTTTAATTATTGTCCTGAAAAATCACTCGTCTTTTCTTCTTTCTTACTTTCTCTTACCTCGTGTTCAGCAGCGTCCTCGGGAACCAGTCCTCCGTCTGAAACAAAGAGTAAGTTTTTTTAAACAGGGAATCAATGCTTCGGCTAAATTATTCACTGCAGAATATTCCAATATTAGTCGAACATTAAAACGAATCTAATTTATTAATTTTTACTGATCTAACTTTAAAATCTGATACTAAAATAAATAATATTTGCTAAATAATTCGCTATAAAATATTCTAATTTTAATCGAATATGAAAATTAATTTAAGAGTGAAATAAAGTTAATATTTTAAGTATTAAAAAAAAAAAAGGCATAGTAAAGTCTCTTTGATTTCAAAATTTCAAAAACAATAAGAAATTCAACAACTCTATTGAAAAAGTTTCAGGACAGACTCGATTATCACGGTATACATAGTATCTACACAAAAAATTTCTACCGACTGGACAAACAGTCAATTAACAATACTACTTTTTTACGTGTTCTATAGCGTTCGCGTATATTCGATCCGCAAAAAAACGAGCGGATTTATGGGAAAACAACTCGTGGATTTTGTACCAAGATAACTCACACTTTGATACTTGTTCGGGACATTTTAGCCATAAACTCGACTAACATCATCCCATAGGCACCGCGTTCGTCTGACCAAGCACCGTGCGACTTTTACCTTTTCCCAGACTGAAACTTCCACAACTTGAACGCCGTTTTCAGTGAATTCAGGCGATAAAATGAAATTCGCTAAATGAAGTTAAAAAAGCCACCCCAGAAATCATGTTCCAGTGGTGCTATGAAGATTGGAGAAATCGTTGGTGTAAGCGTGTTGCTAGAAATGGGGACGATTTTGAGAGTAACTAAATAGAAATTGCCGAATCAACGAATAATTTGTATTTTATATGAATTGTTCTGAAAATTTTTTAGTAGAGTAGTATATGCTTAGTGAAACAGCTAATGCTCGTTTGTCATTGTATACCAAAAAGGGCTATTCTACCTGTATATTTAAATAAACAAATAAATATGCAATAAAAGATTAAATTCCATACTATCTACGTTATATATTATTTATTAATGATACATAATTACACATATTATGCAAATGCATATTATCAATTTTTAACGTTTATGTTTCTTTATGTATACATATATATATATTGCAAAATATCTTTGATAACCCGTAATATCTTCATTTTGTCAAATAAAATCTGTCACATTTTATAATTATTTATTTCGATCTAATTCTTATTTCTATTTTTTTGTGATAACTTAAGAATGGATTATAAGCTTCTATGTACAGTGGCAGCACTCTAAGTTATTCATATTTATTTTTTACCGATCGTAAATTCGATCGTGTTTAACGTCGTATATTTTGAAGTGCGACACAAAATTTGTATGCACTCTTGTTTACGATAAAAAGGAGGAAATATGAGAAATATCATATACGTATATCTATATATTTTCGGGATAAGAACGAAAGCACCTATTCTCGTGTTTTGCATCTGACCGGTTTCAGTAATCCACATACATGCTTGCATAATTTCTCTATAAATTTCTTCTAAAAAAAGCGATTGTTTTCGAAACCCTGTGTTCAACCTTCTGATAGGAATGCGAATTAAAAAAAAAAACGAAGTTGATATCCAAAATTCGATTGGCAGAAAAGAGGAATTATCATTCTAGCGTACACAAATCCGTTGATTAATTCGCTAATAGTAATCTAATAAGGAATAAATTGAATACCGGAATAGTCGTTGATAAATGATCGTCTCTTTGGTGTTCAAGACATATCGAGGCGCTCCTTGAAATTTTCAATTGAGCAACAACGAAGCTGCCCGCGAATGATAAATGCGACCGGTCCAACGATCTACATAAACGACCGAAGATGAATATTATCAATGTGTCGCGGTATGTTTTATACAGTTTCGATACAAGAAATTACGGTTATAATAGCAGTATTTCGGCGATCTGTTCAATGCAACAACCTCTCATAAATTCAATAG